GCGGCCCGGGAGACGAGCGCACCCCAACTAGGGGGGCCATCTGACCGCGGGCCCCGCCATCGACGCAGGGCCCTTCCCGCGCGCCCCCAGCCGCGCCGAACTCCGAGCGCAACCAGGGAGTTCTCGGAGGGGCTCCATGGGCTGCGACGAACTAGCGGCCCTTCCTGCGCCCCCGGCTGCGCCGAATTCCGGGACTTGCCGCCGCTGCCCTCCCCCCCGCCCCCAGATGCGCGCGCCCGTTCTCGAAGCGCCTCCCCGGCGCCCCGCGCCCCGGCGCGCGCCCCCCAGGGGCAAGGCCGGGCCCCCGAGGCCCCCCGGCCCGGGGCGCCCCGACCCGGGGCCTCCGAGACTCGACCCCCGCGAGACCTCACTTGGCACGAGGCAAGGCGGGCATCGCATTATGGGACATGCACGGCGAGGTAGAAGGGGCGGGAGGTTTTGCGCATTGAGATCGGCGCGCGCTGCGCGGTTTCCCCGTGGCGCCCGCTAGGCGCCATTGAATTTCAGGGTCCGACTCGCGGACCGTGGGTCTCGGCAGTCGGCGACCCACTCTCCCCCAAGATTGGGTTTCCTGCGTTCGGCCAAAAGAAAATGAGGATGAAAACGCGCTGTGCGATTGTGGCATCTTTCCCCCGGACTTCGTACTTCGCCAAGGCCTCCACCAGCAACCACCGACGGCGCCGCTCGCGCCGGTCTCGCGGCGTGAGTTCCGCCCGCCATGTCGCCCAATCCACGGCCCCCTCGGGGCACTTGCAGCGGCGCCCTCGCGCCCCCCATCTCTCCTCCGCCGCGCGGCTTCCAATCAAGCGGCCGAAATGTCAATGGGCCCCTCATCTTCGCGCCCGCGCGACGGCAGCGCAACTGGACATCCAACTCGCGCCGCGCTTCTTTCGAAGCCCGCGATCGCTGCCCCCTGCGCCCGCCCCTGAACGGCGCGCGCCGTCGCAACCAACGACGGCGTGATCACGAATTGCGTCCGATTCACACCCCGAAGAGGATGCTTTCTATACCCGTCGAAGAACCAGTGGCGCCCCTTCGATGGGGAGATCGGATGCAGCCCCAGCCCCCAGCCAGGCAAGTGCCAATCCTTCGCAAGAGCCGAATTCGATGACTCGGGAGAGATGCAACGAGACCTCCTCGTCTGCATCTCCAAAGACCTTCTCCTCGTGCAACAAAAAACCAGCCATGAATCGTCGCCGCGCGCCCTCGCAGAAGTTGCGTCTTCGACCTGCCCAAAGGATCTCCCAAAACAGAGCGCGCGCCCTTCGCCACTTGGATCCACCCCGGCAAGCTTGCGCGCTCCTTATCGTGATACCCTAGCCACCGCGTGTTTTACTCCGCCGTGCACGGCCGCCTCTGTTCCCACGACAAATACAAGGGGTCGGCGGATGTGGCGTAAGCCTAAATATATCCACGTCCGGAAGTGACGTGTTGCCGGAGGCAGGTCCGCGGATGCTGTAATGCAATGGATCCAATGTGTCCAATGCTTGCATAATTCCTACATATTGTATCATGTTACATTATTATGTGTGGGCCCCCCCCGGGCATGTTACATTATTATGTGTCCCCCCCTACCCCCCCCTGGAGTCGCGCCACTTCCATCGACCCTCAGGAGGAGGGCCCCTTCTGGGCCTCAAATCTAGAAAAACCTATGGAAAACCGATGATTTGGGCACCTTGAGCCTTTTGGGGATCCAAGAGGGCGTGAAGACGGTTCAAGATGGTGTCAAGACGGGACAAGACGGCCCCAAGACGGCCCAAGATGGCCCCAATAGGGCCCAAAGCCCCCAAGATTGCCCAAGAGGGCCCTCAGAGCGCCCACCAGAACGCCGCCAGAGGCCAAAAACACTGATTTTCCTTAAGTTTTTCAAAGAATTTCGCGTTCTCGCCTTTCCCGGCTCTCAGAGGCCCATGACGGCCCCAGCAGCCTCCAAAATGGCCCCAAGACAGCCCAAGCAGCACCCAAGGGGGCCCCAAGACGGCCCAAAGAGGCCCCCAAGACGATCCAAGAGGCCTCCAAGACGGCCCAAGAGCACCCCAAGATGGCCCAAGACGACCCCAAGAGGGCCCCAAGGCGGCCGCGAGCGGCCCCCAAGAAGTCCCCCGAAGGGGCCAAACGGCTCCAGGCGTCCGCAGACGGCCCCAGACGCCCCCAAGAGGCCCCCCCCGAAAGCCCCGGAAAACCCCCGAAGAAGCCTCCCGATGACCCCCCAAAAGATTCCGAAATAGCGCCCCAAAACGGCCCAAGACGCCCCCCAAAAAAAACCCAAGAGGCTTTCAGGGGTTCTCAAATGCGCCCGAGAAGCCTTCCAAAAGCCGGCAGAAGTCCCCGAAAGGGACCCAAGGAGCTCCCAACTCACCACTCCAGGACGTTTCCATATGGATGCCTCGACGATTGCAGGACGGCGCGGCAGACCACCGCAGAAGACGACAGGAAACGCCACCGCAGAGGACTACAGGAGACGGCATGCCATTCAAGACAGCCCCATCTGTTTTTCAGGATCCAGGCGAGCGCCGGCTCGCGACCCTCGCGCATCTTGCGCCTGAATGGAAACAAACATGTTTGCCCTGTGGTTCCGTCGGGCATGCTCATCGTCCCCGCTGCTGGTGGCGACTTGGCGCAACGCGACAGGGCTCGGCAGCGGGAATGATTCGCGCGCAGCGGGGCTCTGAGGGCTCTAAAAAATAAAAAATATAATGAAAAATGAAAAATGAAACAAAAAAAAAAAAAAAAAAAAAAAAAATAAATAAAAAAAAAAAAAAACAAAAGGCGATAAGGCTCCGCGCGGCTACGCAGGCGGCTGGCTGGCGCACCGCGGTGGGGCGCCTGGTCGCGGCGCCTGGCCCCAAGACAACCCCAGGGAGCCCCAAGTCAGCCCAAAGAGGCCCCCAAGACGGTCCAAGAGGCCCCCAAGACGGCCCATGAGGATTCCAAGAGGGCCCGAAGGCGGCCGCGAGAGGCTCCCAAGAAGGCCCCCGAAGGGGCCAAACGGCGCAAAAGCGCCCCAAGACGGCCCAAGACGGCCCAAGACGCCCCCAAAAGGCCGCCAAGAGGCCCCCAGGAGACCCCCAAAACGCCACAGGAAGCCTCCAAGAAGCTTCCAAGAACCCCCCAGGAGGCTTCCAAAAAGCCCCACAACGGCTGGACTGCACGTGCTCCGGACGTGCACCCCGCGAAGCGAGAGGAATCCACGTCCGGAAGTGACGTGTTGCCGGAGGCAGGTCCGCGGATGCTGTAATGCAATGGATCCAATGTGTCCAATGCTTGCGTAATTCCTACATATTGTATCATGTTACATTATCATGTGCCCCCCCTACCCCCCCCTGGAGTCGCGCCACTTCCATCGACCCTCAGGAGGAGGGCCCCTTCTGGGCCTCAAAATCTAGAAAAACCTATGGACAACCGATGATTTGGGCACCTTGAGCCTTTTGGGGATCCAAGAGGGCGTGAAGACGGTTCAAGATGGTGTCAAGACGGGACAAGACGGCCCCAAGACGGCCCAAGATGGCCCCAATAGGGCCCACAAAGCCCCCAAGATTGCCCAAGAGGGCCCTCAGAGCGACCACCAGAACGCCGCCAGAGGCCAAAAACATAGATTTTCCTTACGGTTTTTCAAAGAATGTCGCGTTCTCGCCTTTCCCGGCTCTCAGAGGCCCATGACGGCCCTAGCAGCCTCCAAAAATGGCCCCAAGACAGCCCAAGCAGCACCCAAGGGGGCCCCAAGACGGCCCAAAGAGGCCCCCAAGACGATCCAAGAGGCCTCCAAGACGGCCCAAGAGCACCCCAAGATGGCCCATGACGACCCCAAGAGGGCCCCAAGGCGGCCGCGAGCGGCCCCCAAGAAGTTCCCCGAAGGGGCCAAACGGCTCCAAGCGTCCGCAGACGGCCCAAGACGCCCCCAAGAGGCCCCCCGAAAGACCCGGGAAGCCCCGAAGAAGCCTCCATGACCCCCCCCAAAGATTCCGAAATAGCGCCCCAAAACGGCCCAAGACGCCCCAAAAAAAACCAAGAGGCTTTCAGGGGTTCTCAAATGCGCCCGAGAAGCCTTCCAAAAGCCGGCAGAAGTCCCTGAAAGGGACCCAAGGAGCTCCCAACTCACCACTCCAGGACGTTTCCATATGGATGCCTCGACGATTGCAGGACGGCGCGGCAGACCACCGCAGAAGACGACAGGAAACGCCACCGCAGAGGACTACAGGAGACGGCATGCCATTCAAGCCAACATCTGTTTTTTCAGGAGATCCACGCGGCATCAGCGACCTCGCACTCTCTGCGCCTGAATGGGACAAACATGTTTGCCCTGTGTGCCGTCGGGCAGGCTCAGCGCTCCGCTGCTGGTGGCGACTTTGCGCAACGCGACAGGGCTCGGGCAGCGGGAATGATTCGCACGCAGCGGGGCTCTAGCGATAAGGCTCCGCGCGGCTACGCAGGCGGCTGGCTGGGCGTACCGCGGTGGGGCGCCTGGTCACGCGGGGTCAGGCCTTCCCCTGGCACTTCCGGCACAGGATTCCCCCGCTGTCTCGATTGGAGCTCCAAATGATTCTCCAGGGAATGGCGGCAGAACACGCCCCGCACTGAAAAAAAAAAAAAAAGCAGCAAGGCGTCGCTCTTCCTTGCGGCCGCCGCCTATCGCCGCGCTGTCCACATGCTGCAACAAAGAAACAAAGATAAATAAAAACAATAAAAAACAAAAAGGAAAAAACGAAAAAATTGGGGCAATAGAAAAAAAATGATCGAGAGCAAAAAAGAAAGGATAGAAGAAAGCTCAGGACAGTGCGGCCAAATATAGGCTAATAAGCGAAGCCTCTTCGCAGTGTCTTCTCCATCTCGGCCAGCGGCGTTCACCCCGCACGCCGAGCACTGCCGGGCATTTACAGAAAAAAAAAAACACAAAAAAAAAAAAAAACAAAACAGAACCAAAAAAACAAAAAAAACGTGACAAAAAACAAACAAAGAAAAGTCCACAATAATATTGTGCCCAATTTTTCAAAACCGCTTGCTTAAAAAGGCCCGCAAAGCCCTTCTTTTCCCCGGCACAGGGGTCTCATCTCCCTGTCCATGCAGTCAGTGCAGATCAGGTCCTTCGCCCCGCGGTGCTGCTTGAAGAATGTCTCGTCGAACTCCTCCGTCGGCTTCTGGACCGCGCACTGCGCGCACTTGAACAGGCGGACTTCCGACTGCACGTTGAAGTGCAGCCGATTTGGAGCGCAGCCGATGCAGACGGCGCGGTCGAGGTCCCCACGCGCCTTCAGGTCGTTCACCTCTCCGAGTCTGAAGTGGACCAATGCCTTTTGCTTCCCGCGCTTGCAGCACTCGAGGACGTCCGCCCCTCTTGAGGAGAAGGGGGCGGAACGGGCGGGTTGCACGCCGATTCCAGCCTTTCCGGCCTGCTTCTGCGCGCAGAGGGCGCACCTCCTCCAGGCGCCCTGGCTCAGCACCGCCACGGCGTGGTCCACGGGGTCGCTCGTTCTCATGCCACTGCCTGGGAAATTCCCCGCTCTCTTCCGCTGGTGGCAGTCGCCGCACTGGAACGTAGCGTCCACCACCTTCTTGGACGACTTGGAAGCCGCTTCCTTCTCTGCCTTGGCCCAGCCGGCTTTCGCCTGCTCCGTCGTCAACTCCCCGGCTGTCATGGAGTGCAGGAGCCGCGGGCCAGTCTGGTGCCCCTGCCGGAAAAGCATCGGCGAAAAGGGCTGCGTGATAATCAGGTCGTCAGCCCTCCTGGTGCGGCTGATGGCCACGTAGCCCGTGGGGACCATGGACGAACGGGGCGTCGTGCGCGCGTCCAGGAGGTCGATGATGGCCTGCGGCAGCGTGGCGCCGGTGACGCAGTGGGCCTCGGCGGCGAAGTGCGGGACCAGCGGGAACCCCGCGCGCTTCACCATGGCCTTGAAGCCAGGACTACGATCCCAGGACACCTCCTTCTGCTTCACGGGGAAGACACCCGCGGGCTGATTCCCAAAGCGGGGCGCCGTATTCCCGGGAATTTGCACCATGATCGCCTCGGGCACGTGCTGCAGGACCAGCTCCGGCTCGGACCTCTGGTCTTTCACCAACTTCGAGTCGTCGGGGTGGAGGACCCAGCCCGTCACGGTACCCCAGGAGTGCTTGCAGGCTCCCGCCTCTGCATTCTCCGTGGCGGTGAACCGCGCCCGCATCCCCTCGAAGATCGGCAGCACACCCGGAACTCCGCCAGTCTTGTTCTCGGGGTACATGAGCCAATTCTGCCTGGCGTGGGCGAGCGACTCCGTCGACCTGCTTGCGTCGTCCCGAGTGAGGGGGACATCGCGCGCCACCACCCAGAGGAGCTGCTTCCCAGCATTGGCTGCCGCATTCGCCGCTCGCAGCGTCAGAATCCTGCTCTTCGGGCGTTGTACGGGTGCACGAACAGCGCGTCCGCGAACGCCGTGCTCACCTCCCGCTGTCTGGCACCGCTCTGAGAGGCGACGCGGCAGCGCCGACGGCGTTCCGCGCTGCAATCAGCGCACTCCAGGGATTTCATGTCCTCCCAGGCCCGACCTTCTCCGAACATCCGTGGCCACTCACCTGACCAGAGCGCGCGGCACTTCGCCTTCCCGCAGCCGAGGTGCCCCGTCGAGGCCTCGGCGCTGCCGGGGCTTGCGGGCATCCAGGAGCCGGGCACATCAGTCGAGAAGCCGTGGGCGAAATCGTACATCCTGTCCGACAGATCCCCAGCGCGCGCTTCCGCGAGAAAGCTTCTCCACCACAAGTCTGAGCAGCGGTGCGACTGGGTCAGGGCGTAGCGGTTAGTCACCGAGTGCGGCAAGCCCTGTGTCCAGAACATCTCCAATATGCGGCCGACGTTGGCGGGTCTCTTGACAAATGGATTGGCGGCTATACTGAGGCTCCTGACGGGCGGGATCTGCCATAAGTCCCCGAGCAGCACAAGGTTGAGCCCTCCGAACATGGCGAACTGTTTTGGGACGCGCGCGTCCACGGCCCAGGGGTTCCCTTGTCCCTCGTCGAGTCCTTCACCTGCCTGTGCACGGCGTCCAGCAGCTCCACCGACACGTTCTCCACCTCGTCGATGATGAGCCAGCGCATGTGCTGGATTCTCGTGTGCAGCATGTTCTCCGACAACTCCGGGTCCTTCTTCCCGCCGGAATGGACTCCCGTGATGAGGTCGATTCCGAGCTTGCTGAAGTTGTGGATGGTTCGCCCACCGATGTTGCTCGCCATGGAATTCATTGGGGCGGTCTTGATGAAGTGCACCTCGTGTTCCCATCCCATGCACGTGGGGAACAGCCCCACGCCCTCGTCGCACAGCCACCGGATGACCTCCGATTTCCCTGAGCCCGGCAGGCCGAGAACGAACAGCCGGGAGCACGGCGATCCGCGCAGCTGGTCCTGCTCGCGGGCCTCCTGGACGCACCTGTCGGCGACGGCGTCCAGGATGCTCATCTGCTGCGGGTCGGGGGTGATCTGGTGCGTCTGCAGCCCTGCGATCGGGCAGGGATACGCATGGCCTTGCCTCCCTGCACACTGCCCACCTTACCGACGACTGCTGCACAACCCTGTCTGCTACGCATCACATGTGCCGCGCCACCTGCCTGACATGCCCAGACGTGTATACATCCGGGAAATCAATGTTTCTACATGCGCACACTATGCGCGCGTGCACATGTAAACGCGTACACGCACCTTCCACAGAGCACGCATGGCGCGACCGAGGCAATGCAAGCAAACGCAGCGCCATCCTTCAAGGTGTATACACGAAGCCTCGCTTGTAATCAACCTTCCCTATACTGCGATCTACTCACCACTTACGACATGACGCTCTGTACAAACTCTGTTCGATACACGCCAGCTCAAACGCCGAGGCTCTCATCCTCGATATCTTCTTCCAGAGCGAGACGAATCGGGCGCACGCGACCGAACTGCATCCAGAACATGCTTTTGGCAACTGCACGTCTCCAGATTGCCACCCCCCCCCGGTCCTCTCCGCCATCTCTGGATGTTGCATGTCAGGTCAGCGTCGCCAGGGTACAGCTTCTCCCGCATCTTCGAGCGCGCAGTCTTCCGCGGTGGCTCCTGGGCCTTTCCGCGAGCCCCCGCTGGCATTGCACTGGAATGCCGAAGAGCAGACTGTCGCAGTGGCAAGTGCAACGTGGGCTCGCTGTTCGGCGGGTCCCAGAAGGACATGCTCTGCTCCAGCGCTTTGTGCACCGAATGGGAAAGGTTCCCAATGTCCTCGCCAGCGGCATCTGCCCCGGCGTCTCGGTCCACTCGCCGTAACTCTGCCATGATGCTGCTGGGGCTGAGGACCGGAAACGCGTTCTCGGGTAGCGCCTCCACTGGCTTCGAGTCCTGGTCGTCCTCGCCCTCGTCGGCGTTCTCCGGCATCGTCGTCATGGTGCGAAGCACGTTGGCCCACAGGATGCGGTTCGAATTCGAGACAATGTGGCCGCGCAGGTAGTTCTTCAAGGCTTTTCGGAAGCTCGGCGCGCTCCTCCCAGACCGCTGGCGCTTTGGCGGCAAGTTCAGATTATTCGCCAGCGGGGTATGCCCCCGAGAAGACCCGCACTTGCACACCAGAGTCCACGGTCGGAAGTACGCCGACAGAGTGGCGCTGCGGCGCTCCGACGTCATGTCGGGCCGCGGCATTACTGACCGGATGAAGACCGGCAGCGCAGGAGCACTCCGGGGCACGATCACGTACATGTGCGCGAACTCCTCGTCGCACGGGTCTTCCTCCAACGCAAAATACCCCGAGTCGCCCGTCGGCGGCTTCACCTTGTAGTGCACAAACGGCCGCGGAGGCCCGTCCGCAGCGGCTGGTGGACTCCCGACCCAGTAAGTCAAGCTCGGGGACGGCTTCGACGTGTCTCTGGGAGGCGGGCGCGTCGGGACCACCTCGCAGAAGCGGACGAATTCGCGCGGGCTGAGGGTCTTCATGTCGGCCGCGCCGGGCCGCCGCGCGTACGCCCATGCGGTCGCGTCTGGCGGCGTGGCGACGTCGCCCGTCTCCGTGAAGAGCACCGACTTCTGCTGGCGCCGCGCAGAAGCGCGACCAGCCCCAGTCTCGTCGGTCACAATCTTCAGAAAGCAGTCCGCGTAGGAGTCGGCAACTGGGCACGACGTAATGCATTCTGCTGCAAGCGGGTTCGGTCTGTCTGCGAAGTGAGCTAAGTTCATTTCCTCGAAGATCGTCCCCTCCACACCTTTGGCTTCCCAGTCTCCGATGCAGCGGTGCACGGCGTTCAGCGTCTGCTGCATCTCGGACTTCGCCTTGAGTCGCTCAGCCAACGTCGACAGGCAAGTCTTCGCAAGCTCTCGGGCCTTCTTCCCGACGCGCTGCACCTTCGAGATGCACCCGCCGATGTAGCGCGTGGAGTTCGACATCGATCGCTGCACAGCGAAGGCGATGCGTCGCAGATATGCGTCTCCAGTCTCTGCACTGGCGTATCTGCGACATGAACACTCTGGGTCGTGCGTGACGTCGTCGATCAGCGGCAGCCGGTTGTTGGGCGCGGTGTGCGAGTTGTCCCTGAACGCAACAGCAAGTGCCGGGCATGTCCCGCTGAGGAACTCGTCATTTCGAGGGCCTACAATCTCCCCCAGGGCGTTCCGAGCGCCGTTTACTTTCAGCCCGAACTCCTTTGCCACCCGAGGGCAGACGACGCGCGATCTGGGTCCGTCCACGGGCGTCAGGAACGATGTCTTCGGGAAGCCGTGCTTGCACTTATCCCCGTGTTCGCACCCCTTCTTAATGCAGTGTGTCAACGGCTTTCCGTCTGGATGATGGTGGTGCTGCACTTTCGAAAAGATCATCTGCGCGTCTGCTTCGTAGGCTATCTTGAAGCTGGACGCGTCGGCGTCGCACTCAGCAAGGTCGCAACCTTCTTCCCACTTGGTCTTCCGCGACGCTTGATTCAGATACACAGGCCACCGGCACAGCCCCACGTGTTCGGACGACCGGAAATTTTGCCGCCACTGCTTCTCCAACGCGGCGAGCCCCGCAGAATGCCCCTCGGGGTCCCAGTGCTCTTCTCGGTGGACCCACGCATGCCATTCCTTCACCGCCTCTGCCAAATGGGGGGATTCCCTGATCATCCTGGCGATCTCGGCCATGGATGCGTGCTGGTATAGGTTTGCCAGGTACACGAACCCGTGGAAGTGGAGCGTGCCCAGGTGCTGGTTCTCGACGGCGCCAAGCAGGGCTGCGGCAACTCCGAAGATTCCCCCCATGGGGCGTGAGTTGGACCCGAATCTGTCCGTGCAGCGACACCTGGGCCTGTGGTGCCATCGGCTGGCGACGCCGCATTCGGCACACAGCCGGAGGCCCAGGAGGCGGCCCAAAATCACGTTCACGGCGACGCGGAAGCCCTGAACGACCGAGAGAGGATCATTGGCCACCTCGCACAGGCGCAAGTCGAAATCGGGGAGCTCCGCGTCGGCGCACTCCGACAATGAGGGCCACTCTCGTGACGCCAACTTCCTTCTCATGGCATTCCGTTCGTCGTCTGTGCTCCCCGCGCGCAGCAGCGGGTCGTCCTGGCGTACTCTGTGCAGACGCATGACCAAGCAGGACTGCTTCTCATTGGGCGAGATGGTGATGAAGAGCCCGTGCCCGTAACCAATCGCGCCGGACTGGAAGACGTGGCCCATCCTGCGGCGCAGTTCCTGGGTGCCTGCAAGGGTGCTCGTGACCGAACGCATGTTGTGAACGATCTGTTTCTGGGTCGTGTCCAGGCCGTGCGCCATGTGCAGCACCGTCAAGTTCCCAGCAATTGGGCGCCTGTTCGGCCCGTAGTACCCCTTCGCCAACAGGTCGTGCAACCCGCGGACAGCTGTGGTCAGGCGCTCAGTGAAGGCCGATCCGTCTTCGTCCTTGTATTTCCGCACTTTGCTCCCCAACCTCGCGGTGATGCCCAAGAAGCGGAAGTGGACGTTGCGCATGCCCGGGATGAAAAGCCAATCCGAACGGATCTGGTGCTCGACTCGGCGACTCATGCCTGCAAGCCACATCCCCATGCTGACGGACGGCCGGTTTTGCACTTCCTCGGGCCGCCCCACCGCGCGGCGTCGATGTGCGGCATCGGCACCGTTGCGCCAAGACCTCGTGAAGTCTGGCCCCCCGCTCTGCCACAGCAGCGTGTGCGGGAAAGCGATCGCGGGGCACTTCCCGTTCCACTGCTCCAACATGGCCGCGTCGGCGACGCACGGGACGACCGGCCCGCCGTCCATGGCACGCTGTTGGCGCTGACCCGCGGTCCCTTGCCGGGACGTCGCATCTGTGGGCGCGCAGGCGGTCGGTCTGGCATCGTCGAAAACAGAGGCGACGTCAGTGCTGGCCAGCGCCGGAGTCGCGTGCTTGTTATCCTGCACACTGCTCCTGGACGGATCCGCCACCACCGTCGCCCGGTCCACGGCTGGCGGGACCTTCCCGTCGGCGTCCTCGGGGGTGCCGAGCCACGGGTAGCACTGCTTCGCGCGCCTTTCAAACGCCTCCTTGGCGGCGGCGATTGCGATGGGATCGCCAGCAGCATCTCTACAAAGCGGGGCGGCCGCGGTCGATGAGCTCCCAGCCGAGCTGCAGCACCACATGAGCGCGGAGGCGCATGTGCTTCAGGTGCTTCGACATGTCCTTGTCTTTCATCCGGAACTCGAAGCGAACCAGGTGGGCCAGCGTCTCGCCGTCGTGGGGCAGCGCCGCAGCAGCGCTCGAACTCTCCGCGATGGCGAGGAGGCGCTCCAGGACGTCGTCCCAATGCACCAGGAAGCTGGCCAGATTACCGCGGACAGCGCACCGACTGTGCGGATGCATGGCCTCTGGGGTTCGCTGTGCGAGCAGCGCGCCACTACCCCCTGTGTGCTACTCGGCCACACTGCAGTTTCAAGGGGGAGGGGTCCGCGAAGAACAGAGAGGGGGCAGTGCCGCGCTACTTCGCACAGCTCGCCTGATTGTTCATGAGGTGGCCCTTATCGCCCTCGACGTAGAGAGCCATCAAACTCGTCCACACAGGCGTGGCCGCGGCCATCTCGATCCACCGAGGTCTGTGCTTCACCCAGAAAGCCGAAACGAACCCGACGAAGTTGTCGTTGGCGATGGCCGGCCGCGGGATTCGCTCCCGCACCGTTCGCGTCTTCGCGAACATGCCGCGGCACTGCCAGCACAGAGGTATGCGGCACGACTCGCACAGCTCGTCGACAACTCCATGCTGACGGTTGCACACCACGTCTTCGGGGCAGCACAGGAAAAAACACAAAAAAAAAAAAAAAAAAAAAAAAAAAAAAAAAACAAAAAAAAAAAAAAAAAAAAAAAAAAAAAAACAAAAAAAAAAAAAAAAAAAAAAAAAAAAAAAAAAAAAAAAAAAAAAAAAGCGCATGGAGTTCTCGCTCCCATTCGGACCGGTCCACCTCGCGGTTCGCACCCACGGCGAGGTCGCGGTCGTCTGTGTCGGATAGTGGTGCGACTGCGTCCCGCGGTGGTCTGGAGCAGGGTGCGGGAAGTGCGCCAGGAACGCGTCCAAGCCGAAGGCGTACTCCAGGAGCTCGCGCGGACAACTGCGCAAGAGCCCGCGCAGTGGCGTCCATCCAATCTCACTGACTCCAACGGACTCGGGGTCGTCGACACTCGTGTAGATCTGACCGCAGCAGAAGCACACCAGCGAAGACAAACAAACATCGTTCGCCACTTGCCTCATGGTGCGAATTGCCCGCCGGTCTCTGCAGATGCCGAGAACCGGCATGCCTGTGCGCGCCCGGACCTCCACCGCCTGGCAGTAGATGGACCAGATCCACGATTCCTGCTCCTCCAGCACCTCGGCGTGGACGACGACATCGTCGGCGCTGTCAGAGAGTCTCCTGTTCCACCCCTCTCTCCAAGCTGCTGGGAGGCAGGCCTGGTGGAAGCTGATTACGTGGCGCCGCAAATCCCCTTCCGTCTCCCCGGTCCAGCGGCACTGCCGAACGGCGCAGTTGCAGATCGGCCACTGCAGTCCGTCCATCACCTCCTGGATGTTGTCTGCGGTGTCCGACGGGTCGAACGGCGGAGGAAGCGTCGGGTCCTGCCGGAGAACTGCCGAGAAAGCCCGAGCTGCTTCGTGGGCGACGTCCAGCGTCGTGTGCGCCACGTGGGCGCCACAGGCCAAGTGGTCAACGTCGGACTGCTCTGACCCGGCAGGAGCCTCCGACAGCTCGGAGTTGGAGTCCGACGCCGGCTCTGAGGGCGATGACTCCCCGTCCGCGTCGGAGTCAGACTCGGGGGCCTCCGCCGCTGCTGCGACGCCCTCTTCGCGTTCACCCAACGGCTGAGGACACCCGGGCGCGCGGCGCGGCTGCCGCGCCCCATCGGCGGCCCGCGGGCGCACGTCGCCGCCAAAACTCGCGCCCGCCGCACTCCCGCTCACTGACCTGCAAGCGCCCGGGCGCCTCGGCTCTGGATGCGGCGGCGGCGGAGGAGGCGCCCGAGCAGGCGCGCCGGCGGAGGAGTCTGCCGCGCCGACTTCATTGCGCGAGCGTAGAGGCCGGGGCTCAGGATGCGGTGGCGGCGGTGGAGGTGGCAGCGGTGGCGCAGCCTCCACGCCCAGGGCGTCGTCGAGAATACGTAGAACCCGATGACAGAAAGCCGCAACGTCCTCCTCGCCGAAGAGCGCATCCACGTCAGCGAAACACGTCGGGTCGGCTCGGCATAGTAGAGCTCCACGGAAGCCTCGCTCTCATAGTAGTGCTCCACAACTCTTGTGTCCAGGGCGCCGGTGGTAACCCATCGGCGGCCGTGTCGGGGGCTGGGGGAAACCATTGTCTCCGGGCCGGCGGCGGTAACCCATCGTCGGCCGAATGGGGCTCTGGAGGAAAGCCCTGTGTCCGGGCCGCCGGTGCCCATCGGCGGCCGAATCGGTGGCTGGGGGGAACCCTTGTCTTCGGGCTGGCGGTGGTAACCCATCGTCGGCCGAATCGGGCGAGGGGGAAACCCTTGCGTCCGGGTTGGGGATGGCAACCTATCCTCAGCCAAATCGGCGGCTGGAGAAAACCCTTGTCTCCGGGGCGCCGGTGTAACCCATCGGCGGCCGAATCGAGCGCAGGGGTAACCCCTTGCGCCCGGGCTGGGGGTGCTACCCTATCTTCGGCCGGATTTTTCCACTTGGTTGATTTGAACCAGCTTACCAACGCTTCCACTCCCCCCTTGCCCATGGATAATGGAAAACACACGCGAATTTGTTTAGGGATTTGGGGGGGAGAATATCGTCTCCCTAAACGCGACACAGCGAGAGGCGGGCGGCCCCTCAAAAACCTGCGCAAAACATCTGGAATTCATAACCGAAAATGACAAGGAATACAGTTTGGCCTGTCAACACAAGGGAAAGAAGACGCCGACAAGGCCCCGAAGTTCCCCAAAAGAGTCCCGAGCCGACCCTGAGAGCTCCCCGGAATGAGCTCCGAATCTGTCGCCCGAGAATCCGTCATGCAAAACGCTCCCCAATGCGTCAAGGAGTAACCATCCAAGTGCAAATTGTACGAAATTTCCAATTCCCCCCCCGCGGGGACCCCCGGGGGCATAGGAATAGAAAATTGCGTTTCTTCCCCATGTGGGGAGGTGTCAAAATGTACACCGTGTCATATCCTATCATGATTTTCAAAACGTTTTGCAATGGTTTTAGAGGCCCACCCTGGTGGCTTCGAGTCCCACAAGGAACCTACCGATGGCTCCGGCCCCACGAAAGAGCGACGGCGACAACGAAAACAACGATTGCAACTTATACAACGACGAAAATCGACGCCAACTTGATTTCGATTATGTTCGAAACCAGAGGGTCGAAAAATAAAAACATTTCCTCCGAAAACATTGCCACGAAATTCCCGTGGCCAAACACTAGCAAATGCTATGCAAATTCGCCAGCCAAGTTTACGCCTGGCCAAAAACAATCGTTTTCATGATTTTTGACAGCTCCGGGGGCTCCAAACCTCCAATATCCGTTGATCCCCCTGTAGGGATTTGTTCAAATTTACTTTGCGCCATTTCCGATCATGATTTTGTAAGCGTTTTGCAATGGTTTTTGATTGGCTCCAACGCATTGCTCTGTCTCGCTTCGGAAAACACGATTCCCTCCCCCAAAGTCAAAAAAACAAATCGCGTTAGTTTCCCCTTATTATTGGGGAAGGGGGCGGGTGGAAGCGTTGGTAAGCTTGTTCAAATCAACTAAGTAGAAAAATTCGGCCGAGGATGGGTTACCACCCCCGGCCCGGACGCAAGGGTTCCCCCCTGCGCCCGATTCGGCCGACGATGGGTTACCACCGCCGGCCCGGAGACAAGGGTTTCCCCCAGCCCCCGATTCGGCCGCCGATGGGTTACCACCGGCGGCCCGGACACAAGGGTTTCCCCCAGCGCCCGATTCGGCCGACGATGGGTTACCACCGCCGGCCCGGAGACAAGGGTTTCCCCCAGCCCCCGATTCGGCCGCCGATGGGTTACCACCGGCGGCCCGGACACAAGGGTTTCCCCCAGCGCCCGATTCGGCCGACGATGGGTTACCACCGCCGGCCCGGAGACAAGGGTTTCCCCCAGCCCCCGATTCGGCCGCCGATGGGTTACCACCGGCGGCCCGGACACCAGGGTTTCCCCCAGCGCCCGATTCGGCCGACGATGGGTTACCACCGCCGGCCCGGAGACAAGGGTTTCCCCCAGCCCCCGATTCGGCTGCCGATGGGTTACCATCGGCGGCCCGGACGCAAGGGTTTCCCCCAGCGCCCGATTCGGCCGACGATGGGTTACCACCGCTAGCCCCGACACAAGAGTTGCCCCCTGTGCCCGCAGAATTCCTGTCGTTGTCGTGGTCGTCGTTACCGTCGTCGTCGTGGTCGTCGTGATCGTCGTCGTCGTACTCGTCCGTGTCTTCGTTGTCGTTTTTCGTCGTCGTCGGCGTTGTTTAGCCGCGGCTCAAAGCTTGCTTTCAGTTCCGAACTTGACGTCTATGATATTCGCCTTCTCGCCTTTTCGTTTCGGGCGGCCACTCGAAGCCTCCAGATGGCGCCAAGATGGCCTCGAAGGGCCCCAGGAGATGCCGAACAGGGCCCCATATGGGGGACTGAATGTGATTTTGGTTGAACCCCGTACACCATGCATGCTGCACTTCTGTATGGTATCCAGAGCTCATTATCTTAGCGTTCATTTTCTTAGTGCTCCTTTTCTTTTTTCCGTGGTGCTGTCGGCGCACATGCCGCCCAGTGCGTGCACACCCACCTGTGCACCTCTGTGCGGGGCAGCGTTGACGCCACCGCCTCCCCGCACATGCCCGCACAGGCCATGAACCTCCATGATCCATGCAACCTGGATCATTGATCAGGCAAGCCCCGCCCTGGCTGCACATGGCAGCCAATGCCATGCATCCGCAGGAACAAGAACCCCTCCAAGATGGAGACTACGAGCGTCAGAGCGCGCTACCTGTGGCCAGCGCTCGGGCGGGAGCGCCATTTCCAATCGAGGATGTGGCTGGCGCTCGAGCGGCAGCACCATACCCAAATGATACGGATGTGGCCGGCGCTGGGGCCAGAGTACTGGTCCAAATAAGGATGAGGCCAACGCGCAGACGACAGCACGCATCAAACACAGGGATGGTGGCCAGCGCTCGGGCGAGATCACCAGCGAAACGGGCCAGATCACACCAAGTCAAGGCGTCTCGGACCCCAGGTTTCCGATGATGTCTCACGCGAGACGGGCGGGATCACCTCGAGGACCGCATCTTGGAACCGTGAGATGTGAAGCTGTCCCAAACGAACCAGGCAAAATCACTTCAAGTTAAAGCGTTGCGGACCCCGGGGTCCCGAGGATGTCTCACCGATACGGCCGGGACCACTTCGAGAACCGCATCTTGGAAACCGGAGTTGCAAGGATGTCCCAGGCGGAACGGGCCTGATCACCACAAGTCAGGGCATCTCGGACCGCAGAGTTCCGAGGATGTCTCACACGAGACGGGCGGGGCACTTCGAGGGCCGCAGAGTTCCGGGGATGTCTCACGCGAAACGGGGCCGAACACGTCGAGAATCGCATGCTGCAAACCAGAGTTGTGAGGATGTCCTAGGCGAAGCGGGCCAGAGGACCAAATCGCTTCAAATCATCAGACTTCCGAGTATGTCTCACGCGAAGCGGGCCGGAACACTTCAAGAGTCACATCTTGGAACCCAGAGTTGTACGGATGTCTCAAGCGAAACGGGCCAGATAGCCCAAAGTCAGGGCATGCCGCAGCCCAGAGTTCAAAGGATGTCTCAAGCGAGACGGGCGGGAACAATTCCCGAAAACCGCATGTCGAACCCCTGAGGTGAGAGGATGTCCCAAGCGAAACGGGCCAGAACACCCCAAGTCACGGCATCGCAGATCCCTGAGATCCGTGGGTGTCTCAAGCGAAACGGCTTAGAACGCTTTGAGAACCGCATCTTGGAACGCAGATTGGCGAGGATGTCTCAAGCGAAATGGGCCAGGTTCCCTCGAGGCAGGACACTTGGGAACCCAGAGCTCCGAGTACGTCTCAAGCGAAACGGACGTGCTCCTCCTCCTCCTCCTCCTCCTCCTCCTCCTCCTCATCCCCTCTCTTCTCCTCATCCTCCCGTCTCCCTGAGCGCTCTCCGCCGGCATGCCGCCCAAGACGCGGGTTGCTGACGCGTGCTCCTCCTGGTTCCTCTCGTTTTTCTCCTCCTCCGCCTTTTCCTCCTCCTCCTTTTCCTCCTCCTCCTCCTCCGTCTGATGCCCTCCCCTTCCTCCTCCGCCCTCTCCTGAGGACGTCCGGCGGACTGGAAGGCCACGCGTGCCTTGCCGAGACCTGGCGGCTCCCTGGGTGGCTGCGCCGCCGCCGCCGCCCCCGCCGCCGCCGTCGGTCGCGGTCGCGGTCGTCGTCGTCGTCGTCGTCGTCGTCGTCGTCGTCGTCGTCGTCGTCGTCGTCGTCGTCGTCGTTGTCTACGTCGTCGTCGTCGCTGTCGTCGTCGTCGTCGTCGTCGTCCTGTGGCGTTGTCGGGAGCCTCTTCTGGAGTCCCTGCGGGCCGTCTTCGAACGACCTTGGGGGTCTCTTGGACCGTCCTGTGGCGTTGTCGGCTGCCTCTCGGGTTGTCTGGAACGCTGTGACGATATGAGAAGCCCAACCGAGATGCGACTCCTACAGACAGTCAGGTAATGTTGGTACGATTTGACGGACCCTGAAAATGCGTGCGTCTATGATTGAGTGTGGTCTCAACCAGACGCGCGGGGTCGTAGGCACGTCCAGCACGGCCACGAGCCCCCGCGGGCGGCCACGACGAGGGCGACGACAGACGGCGGCGGCGGCGACGACGCCGGCTATGTCGACGACGGCGACAGCGAGAACGGCGGCGGCGATGGCGACGACATCGACGTCCGCGACGGCGGCCGCGGCGACGTCGGAGAGGGG